GCCTGTGTGCTCGTGTGCACTCACGCTGATAAAGTTGCCTTGAAGAGCCACAATGAGAGAGACAAATGAAGTCCCCTTTATCTTGCAGACGAGCGTCAACAAGAGCATTTCAAGGACTCCTCTTGATCAAAAGCGCTGGCCGCTGCAATGTTGGCTCTGGGAGAATGAAGGAAAATAAGATGCTTGTTCTGTAAATGTCAAGGTACACAAAAATACTGCCTGTGCGTGTGTATGAGAAATGGCACTGCCGCTTCAATAGAGGAAAGAAGAATTTATATGTATGAGCAGGATTTTAAGCCATTTATGTCATGAGACCTGTTTTTGTTGTACCTTTATTCAGTTCCAGTTCATGCCAAAATAATCTTTGATCTATCTAGAGGAAGTAAAACCCTCAAGGACTTCTTGGTGAACTGGGAGAGGATTATGTAGGGTAGACTTTGGTTTATTTGGTCCATATCTCTTTTGCTTACACCGTGGCTACTGTGGAGATCTCCTGAGGAAATCAGTTCAACTGCTCCCTGGACATCACTTCACGCCAGTCTGCAAATTGCAGCCTGGTAGCAATGGAGGCAGGTCAGCAGTTGCCCTTGCAAGAAAGGCTTTGCAGTCAGAAACATCTGCTACCCTTGTAGCAGATGTTGTGTCACCCTCTTTTTATTTTTTTCATTTAGATGGAACTATATCAACTGCCAGCCCCAGCACAGCAACTATTTAAAGAAAATGCTAAAAAGCCTCATATCCTGAGAAATAAATCTTGCAATATCATGTTGCTGGATGCACTGGTACCTATGAAACAATTGGACCAAACATAGAGGAATTATTCTGATATGTTTAGACTCAAAAACAAGACCCTTGTAGAAAAAGTTGGGAGGACATCCTTATACAAGACTCAAACTCAAACTCAAGACTGCTGTTTTTAGACCAGCCAGCCAGTCAGCACTGAGACTACAGCCTTATTACTTTCAGATATGTACTAAACATGCCAAAAGGAAAAACAAAAACAAGAAAGCCGATCTTGTCTGGTTACTTTTTTTTTGTTGTTTTGTTTTGTTTTTTTGGGGTTTTTTTAAATATTGGCATTCTGTGAAACTGAGCACTGGAGAAAAATAAACAAATTTAACAATTTATACTCTGAAATCGTAGAAGCAGAAGTGGAAACTCTGAGTTAAAAGTACTTGTCTAATCATGCGGACTTCATATCTGGCAGGTCTTAAAGAGTACAGATGGTACAAAGGAGGTATTTGTCCTGTGTCTTGCCAGCAGCTTTCCTGTCTGTTTCAGCTGTAGAAATCTGCCAACCAGCCCCTTCAGACAACACACTGAATCCTACAATCTAAGTAATTTTATTTCCAGGGAGATTATATAAACCTGTCATAGTCTCTTGCTACGTGGGAGTGGGAGTAGTTGTAGTTATGAGGTATAGAGCCAGCATTTCATTCCCAGTTTCCACGTCAATAATTATTGGATTAAGGTCAGTAAGGAAATTGACTGCACATGAATATTCTATTCCCAGCCGCCCCAGACTCTGTCTCTAAGCTTAACAGCAGGGACGCACAAGTTGCCACTGCCATTCCTGAGCCTATTTGAAGTTGTAATATGTAAATTGTTTCTTAATCAGAATCCTTTTTATACCAAAGTTGCACATCCTTGATGGCCTTCTCCATTAAAGGAATAAAAAGGGAGAGGGGTTTTAATAATGCATGCCTAATTGAAAGAGCAAACACGCAGAAGATATTCCCCACCTGCTCTTTTGATGATGGCTGTGTCATCCCTATTGAAGTTTTACAATGTGGGTGTGATTCATACCTTCAAACGGCCACAGTGTGAATACGCTACTGGACACTTTGAAAAGTAGAAATCAAGCTCAGATGTTACTCTTTTTCTAACTTTCCTTTTCTTTTGAAGTGTGGCCGTGTATAATGTGAAGTATGAAATATTTCGATGCATTCAACTTACAGGCTCAGCAATATTGTGTTTGTTACTAACAGCTTTCCACAAATGGGGTTGGAGGAGGACACAGGCGGGAACAGCCAACAGCGACACAACCGCCACGGCCGAGATGGAGGAGCTTCAGCACCTGGAAGTCTGGAGAAAAGGATAGAAGACCTGGAGAGGGTAAATAGACTGACCTTATATCAAGTCATATTACTAGTCGAACCTCGTCCACATAAACATAACCCAAAGAATATTATCATTTAAAGAAATGTTGCATTTCTTGATTTATTGGAGTTGACTGTGGAAAAAAAAGTTAACATTTGCCTTAAAACTTAGATGTTTTTATTTCTTAAAGACACAAAGGTGAGTAAATGTAAGCGTCTGCTCTGGTTCAGATGACTCAGAATACATGTGTTGGCAGATTTTATAGCTTCCCTGCAGTGATAAGGTCAACACCTGTTGTTCTTGGCAGTCCTTACCTATCAAATGAGCTTAATATTTACTGACAATCTGCTGATTGTTTTGCTGTGGATTACTAGAGTTGATCTAATTCTTGAGTATTTAAAAAAACTTTTTTTTTTAAGTTAGTTTTAGTTAGTTTTTTCAGTCCTTCATTTTATTTCTTCTTATTGTAGATTTAATTCCTATCTCCATATTATAGAACATATAGAAGTCAATATCATCTCCTCAGATTTGTAGATTTAATTTAATGAAGTTTAACTGTCAGATATGCGAGCAGAGGAGGGTGGTGAGTGGAGATTGGGTTAGCATTGGCAAGTTGCCATCCTCAGATATCCCAGGATATTGTTGACTATCTGATCTCATAGTTCAAATTCACTTTTCCCAACCTTTGGGGGGTGGGAAGGTAAACTTGCTTGTGGTCATGGCTGGCTGCCAGGTGGTTATTGACCAATCTTTAGGCTTACATGGCTAGGGCTTTACCAGATGGTTGCCAAGTAGTTTCAAAGCCTGAAGATGGCATATCTGCCACAAGGCCAGGAAACCTAAGTGTGATGTCCGAATTATATTTGGAAATGCAGCTGTTTTAAAGCTGGATTGGTCTAACACAAAAGTTGATGCACAGGTTAGATGCATTACAACAGGACTTGTAATTGTTTGTTTAAAAAAAAAAAAGATCAAAGATCGGCGATTGAGAGTAAAGCTGAGCTTCTAGACTTTTCTGGGTGTTACTAAAACTACGTTCATCCCCACAGAACACCATGGAGATCTAAAATTGCTGAGGTAACATCAGTTATTGACATCTATCAATATTCTATAGCGTCTCAGTGAACCGTGAGTCAAGGCTGTATCTTTTAGCCAACTTGAAAGCCTCTATCAGTAGCACTTTGTTAGGATGAAATTCCACTTTGAGTCCTTTGTGCAGCTGCCCAGGTTCTACATTTTCTGGCTGGAAACTGTGGCTCTGCACTTACAGAAATTCTCCTCAGTGTTGTTGAATAGATGACCTTTCTCAGTACAGATATGTCTTTTCTTCCTGCACAGCTCCTATCAGCCACTCAGCCTCTCTCTGCTCCCACTGTAGAAACTCAACTTGGAATCAAATGTCACTTGGGTGGCCTTATGAAAAGTCATACCTCCTGTGACTTCAGCATGAAGCGGTTTTGTCAAATGTCCAGAAATCATATTTCACACATATTTTTGTCATTGTTGTTTATTTCACTTTTCATTCCAGATGCAGGTCTGCTCATATAAGACAGCTGCACCTAAATCTCAGACTTCACTGAGACTTCAAGCTCTCAGTGGGTAGCTGCGGGTGAACTGTGGGGCTGTGTGGGCAGGGCACGCAGACACTTACCCCACAAAGGGCCTACAGCTGTTTTGCCCTTTAGGGCCCAAAATGAGTATTCAATGAACCATTCCACAGTGGGTTTACTCACAGAAATCCCATGCGGGCACTATTTACAATATTTGTTATTGTGGAGCCCATAGCAATTTTGCCTTTTTGGCTCCCAAGAGGGAATTCAGTGTGGGTAACCCACTGTAGGTAGCCCACCAAAAACCCATGTGGAGCCCATTTGGGGTCACCATAAAAATGTTCTTTGGGCAACTAGTATATGTACCTGCTGTGGTAGCTTTTTGGTCTAAGTAGCTCTTTTTTGTTTTGTTTTTGTTGATTTTTGAAGAACATTCTGGTCAACACTTCCTACCAGTTGGTGGCAGTAATGTACCATGGGGCACATGTGGGCCCTGGATGGGGCACCACTAGGGCAGCCAAAGCCTAGAGTGTTGATATACAGTGGGCCTAAAGTAGGTGCTCCCTTTTAGGGCCCCTCTCTGCTTAGTCTGGACAGCTCACAGTCAGCTCACACTATGGACTGCCCCACAGTGCGGGGCCCAGATGTGCCACATTTTACTCTGGTGCAAGGCCCATTGTAGGCCATGTGGGTCTGCCCACAGTGGCTGCAAACAGGCCCTAAAGGGGTTGGTCATTAGATCGCAGGTCCTTGCTTAAAAATAAGAGATGTTTGTTAAAGACTGTATATATCTTTCACAGAAAAAGCTGAAAGTATGTACATGTCTCCTTTAAAAACAATGAAAAGGTATAGAATGCTAAGTCATGGGAGTCATTCCAGATTTTAGAAGTCCTTTTTCCCATCATTCTACTCACAACCCGAGCTGACAAAGATGATTGTATTAATCAGCTGCGGTCTAAGATGCTTAGGGTTCGGGTTAGAACTTTGATGATTAAGGACAACCACTCTCACTGACGTCTTTCAGAGCATTTTAGGATTATTTATATATGCTGCCCTAGAAAATAGAAAAAAACATTATTGTCTTTAAATAATTCACTGAATGGTTCTTACATGAAAATGAGCAACTTAGAAAGCAGAACCAACATCATCCTTTTTGGTCCCCATAATGCTTTGAGCAGATGTAATATTAGCAAGTAAGAAACATTCTGGGGAAGTGAAAATACAATGAAAATTCCATATTCAACCCATATGTGATTGATACCCATATTTTACAATGTTCTGGGGCACAATGTATTTTGTGCAGTATGTTTTTTAATTTTTGCACCATGGACAGTATTCCCAAACGCTGTTATTGTCAGATGACAGACATTCAGAATAAAAGAAAAGGAATTTCAGCTGGTATTGTTGTATTTTATGAAAGAAACAAGACAAATATTTGTTCAGGTGTCTTTGAGCGGAGATACAATGCTGCACTTATCTATGGTAGCTTTAAAAGTCATATTATGCCAGCTTTGACTATTGCCATCTACTGTAGCTGCATAATACATTTTTTTATTTAAGCAATTTCATGATTATCTGAAAGAGCCAGAAAGTGAAACTACAAAGTCCTGGTTTAATCTTCATTTCCATGATAAAATAGCAGCAGTTTGAAAATGTGTGCACATTAACTTTCGGTTTATGATGTGCATACAATCGTTGTCTCTCTCAGGAAGGCACAATATCCATTATTTCACTGTGGCTGTTAGAGGAGGCGGACAAGAACACACTGGCTTTTAAGTACAATTTGAAAATAACACAAAAGTACTATATAAAAGAAACTATTAATGCATTGTTCACTGACAGTCTGCGTGGATTTATTATTGTGGGTTTTTGAAGAGTCTGTGGAAGTGGGAAATAGAAAATTACATACATTATTGAAAAAATGTCATCTTACAAAAAGTCAATGCAGTTGACTGTTCTTGACGCCTTTTTTAATACCAAATGTTTCTGCTAGTAAAAATATGATTTCAATAAAGTAATCTCTTTCAGGAGATCAATGCAGAGGCTCATTTCATTTCCTTTTTTTTTTTTTTTTTTTAAACTGGTAAATGTAGCTGCTTCACTTTTACTTTTGGCACTTTTGCCTTTGTAAGATCCAAATAAAAAGCTGTCGCATGTTTATCAAAAACTGATTTTAAAAATACAATTTTTAAAAAAAAAAAGAAAGGGAAAAAAAAAAAGCTGAGAGTTGTGCAACATCTGGCAACAAATAAAGTTGATTAGTAATGTGATTAGGTATAAAAGGAGCATCCCTGGGAGTTTTTCACGAATGGAAGGAATTCACAGTTTTATGAGTGGCTCTAATGAAATAGTTCAGCAACTTCCACCCCTCTGTTTTATTCTTTGCCCATGCAGTTCAGGATTGCAGGTGTGCTGGAGCCCGATCCAAGCTGTATGACAGGGCAAGAGGCATGGTGCAATCTGGCTGGTAGCCAGAGCTGACAGAGAGACAATCATTCGTACTCTCATTCGCTCCTGACACCCAATTTAGAATCACTAATTAACCTAACAAGTATACCTTTGGAGTGTGAGGGTAAGCTTGAATACCCAGAGAGAACTCACCCAGGCGCAGGGAGAACATGCAAAGGGTGCTAAGAGAGTTTCATAATATCATTAAAGTCTGAGTCTAAGAATCCAGAGTAATCTCTGTATGCATTGGCCATAAATTGTGAGTCCGCAGGTGTTGCTGCTTTAAAAATAGCCATGCAAAATCGCTGCATGGGCTCAGAATCACCTATGAAAACCTATGTTAGTGAACCTAGGTCCCCACTGCACCAAAAGAAAGCAGTTTCATTTTAGCAACCCCTTATTTTTCCAGCCTTTTGTTGCCCCTTTCGTAACTTTTTTTTTTAGATTACCATCATCAAAATGATCTAATATATTTCTGGAAACGCTAAAATGTCTCGTTTTTAATCACTTGATATGTTTTCTATGTTCTACTGTGAATAAATATGAGTTTAGAGATTTGCATCATTGCAATCTTTCCCAATTTACTGGATTCGGGTTGTATTTATCTTGATTAACTTCATTTTGTTTTCCCTTTCAGACAGCAATGCTCCAGGGCAACTGTTTCGATGTATGAAATTCCAAATCTTGTGTAGCTAAACTAATTACAGGGCAGATTTCCTGGTACACCTCAATGCAGATTCCACGCACTGTTTCTTTATGAAAATATTTGCCTTTCATGTAACTATGTGTGCAATCTGTGTGCATTTTCAGGAGCTGGCCAGAGAGCGTCAGGAGAACGCCAGGTTGCTGAAAGCCTACCAGGACAAAGATGATCTCATTGGGAAGCTGAAGGAGGAAATCGACTTGCTGAACCAAGTGAGCACAGCCTACATAATTTTCTGCTCTGATGTCTGATATTTTGAGTGTTCCTTTGTGTTTGCATGCGTGGGCGTCTTGTGGGGGCTGTAATCATCATCTGGCATTTTACTGGCCTTGTGTGTAATAGCTATGTGTTTTTCTACACTGATTATTCTTGCAGTCTATCAGAAGCTGGACATAAACATACTTTTTTAGTTTTGAATTTATATAACTTGAAACACAATGGGGGGGAAAAAAACACTCTGAAACACAAGTAGTAGTAAGTATTAAAATTTGTTGCTCCGTGTAGCAGGTAGGTTCATATGTAACTGATTCGTCAATCATGGTGTCACCACTGAGCTGTTTTTTGTCAGCCTAAATTTGAGTCGTCTTGGATGAACAGTGAAGGATAAGCAGTCCTCTTTAGCTTCTTTTATTTGGTTTATGCAAGTAGTTTTTGTTGAATACAGCAAAAAAGAAAGAAATGGTGAAGTCCACTGAAAATTACTTTTAACAGCTGTGTTCACACTTTTTATCTGCATCATGGTTTGTTTTTGGGGGTTTTTTTTAACCTTTCTGGCGAACGAGTCTGAACTGGGCCTTTACAGTTCAAACCCCTTTGAATTGAAACTTTCAAAGTGAATTTTTTTACTGTGTCATTTAACAGTCAAATCAAAACAGTAAAATGCAGCCATGGGCCAAACTAGATGAACAGTAAATTACAACCTAGCCAATTTCAGCCAATCACTGTGGTATTACAATCAGCAACCATTTATTATAAAGTGACTTTCACAGTTGGGCTCCACGTTCAAAAATGAAATTGAAGTTCACCTTACACCTCTGGGTTAACTTTGTTGATTACAGATTTATCTTAATTATTGAGTTGCTTTTCATGTTGCTTGATAACCAGTCTACTACATAGACACCACATAGGAATGTATAAGGCTTAATTATGTTTGGATAACAGTCCATTGGTTGATAATATAATTAATGTTATGGCATGCTGTTTAGTTGTTTGGTACAATCTTTCCAACTACACTTCTAGTATTTTATTTCACTCTTACTTTGACCTTATTAGTAGATGTATGTCTGTGTATTGCATCTAGGCAGTTTACAAAGGTAGCTTGCTAACTAAGCTCACTAACTTTAGTAACCTTAGGCAATCCACAGCTTCTCATCTCATTAACCTCCTAAGACCCGAACTCTTCCACAGCATGCATTTTTAATTTCTCTTTGATATTTGGGCTGATTGGGACCTGATGAATGTAAAAACAAAGAATTACCAGATTTTTTTTTTACCTAATTTTTGTTTCTAAGAAAAATGAGATCCACATATGAGGATATTCGTTTAAAATTTCGATAGAACAGTAGCAGTATAATGTCCTCGTAAGTGGATATCAGGCCCTTGTAGAGCAAAATTGAGTATTTTGGTCTAAATAACCCAAAATGTGATGTCCACGTATGTGGATGCCAGGTCCTAGGAGGTTCAGGTAACATCTGGCTCTAAAAAATAAACAGCATAGCAGTGACTGTCTATTAACTTTGAGAGTTCATGAGAATAAGATCCAGTGGGTGATCTTACTATATCTGATGTACACTCTGGAGTCACTCTTCTTTAGCTGCAACACTGTGCGACGAGCAAAGCAGAAGAAATAATAATGAAGTCCACTTTCGCTCCCAACTTTTCAGATTTGGAAGCTTGGTCTTCCTTCATGGAGCATTTTGATGTCACATGTTAACAAACTCGGAAATGGTCTTATGTTTTGTCAGAATATTTGCTTACGGAGACTAATATTGCTATAGCGTACATGTGTGTGTCATGGTGTCATTGCCAAGATGCATTATGGTTACATCAGAAATCCCAGTAGCATTGACAAAGTGGTAGTATTTGAATGACTATGAATGAGAATGGGTTTAGTTAAAAGAATTTTATTGTAACTTCATAAACTAAGGCCTAATTCGAAATAGCAATGAAGAGATGCATGCTGTTTATGGTAAAATCTTCATGGCAAAAATAATCAAAGTCAGTAAAATATGAACTCTTATATAGGCTGAACGGTTATTAAGAGGAGATTCAAATCGGGTTAAAACACATTTGTAGATGAGGTGATAATATTGAGTGTTTACAAAGACAAAATACACCCATTTCTCACTGAAAAATAGAACTAAAGAGTTCTCCCTCAGGAAGATCAGTTAAGACATGAGAATGGCAAGACGAGCGATAATAAGTGCTGCTGCTGCAATTATCGTGAGAAGAGCTTTTGACAGATCTCGTAACTATCACAGTCTGATCATTTCACACTAAAGTGAACCCAATAGCAGGGGTCAGGTGTGCTTTCACATTTGGCTTGATGGGTTGGAGTGCGTTTTTTGTTTTTTCCTCTCCCCCTTCTTTCACCTCATGCTGCACGCAGGGTGAGAAACATGTTGGCTGATGGCTTTATAGCCGTAGTGAAACCTCTCCAAACCTTCTGTACTTGCAGCTTTTTACTGTGTTTTCTGGATCACGAGTCTGGTGGGTGGAAAATGGTGTACATTTTTCTTGCTTACTTATTATCTAAATGCTTTTGTCATTATCAAACACACTGCAAAACTCACTGCAAACCCCAAAAAGAGCACAATATACAGGAAGCATCATACTGATAGCATCACATATAGGAGAGGTTGGCCATAAGAGAAGTGATTTATCCAAGGATGGTTAATGCAGGGAGCGAGCCATCAGAAACGTCCCTGAGAGAGGCTCCTGCAGGGCCTGATGTTATAGCAGGAGATAAGAGTTGATCCAGTCGGTGTCTCTGCAGAGTAAAATTGAACCCTCAGTCACTGTAGAAGTTTATTTGGGAGAGAAAGAAAAGATAAAGCTCAACTGCTGGATGTCTTTCTCCCCACTGATATGCTTTGAAAAGAGTCTTGCAGTGTTCAGTGAAAGCTTACACAGTAAATACTGATGGGCTCATCTAATGAGAAAGAAAAAGAGCTTTTATATTTCCTAAAGGTTAAATCTGCAACAATTGTCCTTTTTTTTTCTTTTTCTAAGTTGATATAATATTCTTAGCAAACAGCTTTTTCCTTGCTTATCACTATTACTCAGTATAGAGTTGTTACTTAATGCAGCACTAGATTCTTTAGGTGATTGTAGTGTCTACATTAAACTTTTGAAGATTTTTCTCTGGAAGCAGCTACGTGTTACAGGCATCTGTCAGACAGGTGACAGCTATCATGTTTTTGAGTCTTTAAAGTCTTCAAATGTCTTAAATTTGCTAATAAAATTGAAATCAACTGTATCTATGTGGCGCCAATTCACAGCAACAGTCACCCCTCCCACCCCGTTTGTGAGCGGCAGATCAAGTTATATGCGTCTTGGTGCAAAAGAAGGGAACCAAACCCCACCTCTCTCTTGTTAGTGTCTCACCTTACATTAGTCTTTACGTCCCTTTTTTGCCGCAGAGACAGCAAGCTGTGTTGTAAACCTGTGACCTGCTTAATTTGACTTTTTAAGTCCCTCCAAGTGTTGTTCAGCTCATTCCCAACAGTCATGCAATCATGGCCGGTGATGCAAGAAACCGAAAATGAGGAGTGTCACTTTGATGAGACAGCGCTGTGGCAACTTAGAGCTTCTCTCATTTGCAACTAATTGAAGCTGTTAATGTCTAATTTGTTGCTATCAAGGCAGCCCAAATGGAAGGGGGGGGAACCTGGCAGCAAGCAATGCTCATTTTAACTCTCAGACGAACACTCCACAACCTGATCAGGCCTCTCAGCGGTATAGAGGCAGGGTCTTGAATATTTATGTGGTTAAATGGGTCCTGATGGAACTAAACAGAAAGATATGTGTGTGTTGTGCCCTTTTCACAGGACCTGGATGACATCGAAGATGAGAACGAGCAACTCAAACAAGAGAACAAGACTCTGCTGAAAGTGGTAGGCCAGCTGACGAGGTAGAACCAGATCCGGCACAACAACCCAGCAACTCTGTCGTCTCCCCTCTCCAAACCAGCCTCCTGCTCTGGGTCAAGTCCAGCAGGGTCACCTTTTATGTGTTTGAATCTGTGTTTTTTGTCTGTTAGAGTGAGACTGTAAATCAGCTGTCATCTGAGGCGCACAGCCTTAAAATGCATCCCTCCTATCTGAGGAGGATTATTCCAATTGTTGTGAAAGCTGAACTGAGTGGTGGGGATTTTTGGTTATCCTATACATATTATATGTAAATGTATTGTATATAGGCCATTTAGATTGTTAATTTTTTTTTGATTTCTGATAAGGTCTTTAAAAAAAAAAAGATGCTATAATACATTGAATGTATGTGCTACAAAAACAAGCGCACACAAAGTCTTTTCAAACTTTTCAAACATCTCCACAAACTACACCCAACACTCACACAGGTAAACTGAAAAAGATTTCCATTGTTGCAATGTTTGAATTGTGTCTGAAGCCAGTGCAGTGCTGCTGTTTAGGACCAAATCCAATATAATTATTGCTACAGTATCAGCAGCCAAAGTGGGCATAGTGCCTTGCAATGCATGTGAGATTTTTTTTTTTTTTTAAATGGTTAAAGCCTGGTGCTTTATTAATGGACCAGATTTACTTTCTTCCAATAACTTTTTGGTACATCTTTATCCCACAAGGGCTAATCTGGAAAAAAAAAAAAACATTTTAAATATATCCCATTTAAACAATCAGTTTAAAAATAATATCAATAAAATGCTTTACTCATTTCAATGTCGACATCTTGAGTATTATAGCTGACACTTCGGAAACGTCTTTGGGTAAAATCCTTGTCTATCATATATGTGGATTCATTTTCTTAAAAGATATTTTGCTCTTGTTTACAAGTTCAGCCTTTGTGTTATTTAATAGATGTTTAGTACGGAGTGTTCTGGACCTTTAATATGCAGTTTAAACAGAATTAATTGGCAGTTTGAAAATTGTGAGAGCAAAACTGAAGACACTGTGCTTAAAATGTTTTCTTGCAAGAAAAACATCTTTGTAAATCCAACGTTTTTGGAAATCTAAAAGTTGTTTATGAATTCAAAAGGTTTGCTTATTCAAAAGTTTCATAGCAAAGATGCTACATCTGACCTGTTCCATGTAGACTGCTGTTTTATAATGAGCTGTATGAATTGGCAGCAATTGATATTGAATGCTATGATTGAAGTACTGAAGTTGGGACGATACAAATGTTCACTGATTTTCTATTTTTTGGAAAACAGAGTATGAGTGCTCTTTACCAGGGATGTTCCCGGCATCTAATTTTACTCGTCACTTAAATATGAGGGGGGAAAAATCAGAATAATAAAGTATTTGAAGATGCATTTGAAAATCTTTATATTCTTCAGCAATCTGACTATATTTTAAAAATGTGCTAAATGTAACACTTTCTGGCTTGACTTCAACATATTAGATCAGTTAGCTAAGTGTGGTTAAAGCTAGCACCAGCAATCGTTTCTCCTTTAAAGTCCACAAACCTGTCTAAATGAATATAGCCATGTAATGTTCTGGCTATGTATCACTTTCATCTGATAGAGTGGATGTAAAACCATTAATTTTCTAGGTCCAAGTACTGCGTGATTAATGCAGTGAGATCGAGATCTTATTTTCCACCTTACTCTTTACTTCCTGTCACAGAGAGGGTTGCTGCTATAGGTGAATGCTGACGGGGTGTGTAACCTTTTTAGACGCAACGATTGGCTGGCACTGTACATTAATAAAATGTGGGGGGAAAAATAGGCTCTCTCATATATTTTGGTTGCCACTTAGCAGGGCAGCATTATTTAGGCCCCAGTCACACAGGCCTAGAGACCAGTCGATAAACGGCTAGTAACTAGGGAAAAATTGGTATTTCCTGACTGGTTGGCAAGTGGTTGTGGGAGGTTGCCTGTTAGGTCTCTTGGTGAAATTTGTCACAAGAAATTATGTTGCTGCACTAAAAAAAAACCTTGCAATTGCTTCGGTCGCTAGCAGAATTCTGTAGTTCCCTGTAGTTTGCTTGGAAGAGGAGTTATCTGCAAATATTTGCTAGCTACTCGCAAAGCGGTTGTGAAACAAACCGGAAATGGAGACCATTTGCCTTAAAAGAAAAGTTAAGCCTTTTGAAACATGTCGATTTCGGCAATAAGGCACAACTTTTACTTTGAAAGTGTCTTACATATTTCTTTGTAGCTCCGACCCATGAGATTCAGGTCAACGGTAAGCAAAGCTTCTGCTTTTGTAAACAGCACATTTGGAATAATATTTTAAATGATAAATTTTACTTGCACCTAAACTATTTTTAGGTCTAATATCTACAGTTTCTTTATTGTAAACCTGCTGTTTAATGACACAGAAGTAACCCCATATTTTACTTCCGTTTTTCTGCCTTCTAGAATGCATGGAGTGAGTTAGTGCATTTTTTTTGTATGATAACCAAATGAACTGAAGGAGCATACTGTTTGAAATGCATCTCTTTTGTTTACTCAAGGGAACAGGCTTTGATGGTAGCAGAATTTTACTTTCTTATTTTATTTAGCCGCTCCTCTCCCAGCCAGGAGGTGCACGGTGATCTCATGCGCTGTGGCAAATGATCTTTAGGCTCACTGCTTCCACATACATTCACATGTTTTGGGGTAAAGATTATCCCCACGTAGACAGACACCACAGACCCATCTCTCTTTCCACTGCATTATGCATGTACAGAAGATTAAGTCATTTAATAAAAGTTTGATTATCTCTCTCCTCAGTCGACTCGCTTGTGTTCATTAAGACTAATTTGATGTGATGATACCGTGCCACTGAGTCGGTAATGCAATGTGACGGTGGCGGGGAGTTCAGTTCCTCTGCTTAGCTTTTAGTACACACACACACACACAGAGGGCTGATGATGATTCAACATGCCAATCATCAACCTGGATGTGGCTGGGACACAAAAACCGCCATCAACCACACACAACTTATTATACTGTTGAAACGCTGTTACTGTTGAAATTCCCTCACCTACTGACAGTTTAAGAGGGAAAAAAAATCTATACAGGAACCATATTAGGACTAATATCAACTAAATTTCCAGATAATAGCCTCTTTCAGCTGACGGAAAGTACTGGAGGCTCTCTTTATAATCCATATTAGCATTTTTATGGAAACTTTTAGGGTTTGTCATTTGGAATAGGCACAGAGGACACAGACAATTCATAACTGCCTTTGGTTTGTCACAATAAGCTTTTAGTCTGCTCTCAGCAGTATTGTCAGACCTCCACTAAAGTTCAGACAGCATCAGAATCCTTTCTGTCTTATTGTCACTCAGTAAATTACACTGTGTGGGGGAAAATGGCTTGTCAGCAGGTCTTTGTATAGATCTTGTTTTTTGTTTTGGAGTTTTGCAAGGAAATGTTGTTACGTCAGCAACATTTGGACAAAGGCAATGTGACTATCTTGTAGAATGGCTAAAAATGAATAAATGCCTGGGATGTTGCCATTGTACAAATCTACTGTAGTAACCAGGTAACTCTAGGTGTTAAGCTGTGGCCATATTGCTTTCCTGGCATTAAAGAAGGTAAATAACAGTATATTCAAAAACAACATTTAAAGACTTATCAAAATGCGCTTCAGCTTTTGCCTTCATCACTTAATATCATCACTTTTCTTAATGAGAAAATCGGTGATGTTAGAGCAACAGCTCACTTCCCAGCCTACTGAAAAAATACAGTGCACATTTTAAGGGAAACACTGCTTTTTAATTGCATTGAATCCTATCCAGGTGTCTCCTTTTCTATAACACGGGGAATAAGTTGAGCATAGCAAAAACTCTGTAGTACACTTCTGCAACCTGCTGAACTGAGTCTTTAAGAACAAAAGTGGATACAGACAATAATGCATGAGCTAGTATAGCATCTGCAGGACGCTATTACTGCACTTTTGGTCTCCATTTTTAAAAATAGTCTAGCCTATAACTGACATTTGAATATGGAAGTTAGCTAAAACAGACACCAAAAAATATAGTGTTTATATTGCCTATATGTTAACGCTGTATTGTTTTAAATGCCTTACCTCACTACAGTAGCTTGCGAACACATAGCTAAAAATCAAGCTAGCTAAACATGGAGTTCTCTGACATAGAAGCCATGCTCAAAACGAATAGCGTTAGTGTTTCAGCCCTCAGTTTTCTCCTCTGGTTGGTGCAGTTTTTAAAAGTATGATGGACTGCGCTACTTCTTTATGTGATTCCACATAAGTTCTTGTTCTGTGGCCAGGGTGTAACATTTTATACAACATACAAGCATGACAAGGAAAGATGAAGAAGATATAAAGAGTTTATATCATTCAAATAGAGAAACACATTATCAGTTTTGACTCTAATGTCCAGAAATTGCCATTGCCAGCTTTCTAAATCCACCCTTGGTCATAGAAACTATGGGAACCCCAGCTCTACTGGTTATGGAACATGTTCTTCATTCCAGTGCAGTATATACTGCCATTTGGTCAGATGCTGCATGACTCACACTGTTAAGCAAACTGTATCTGCTGTAACACTGGCCACAAAAGGTACCACTTTTATTTTAAAGATGCATAAAGTCTTTTTAAGGGCGTTGGAATGGTAGCACTGACATAAGTTACAGGTTAATCAACCAAAAGACAATGATTCACATTGATTCACATTGTTGAAATGACAGCTGGCTTGAATTGTGTTTTTAGATTCACAACTTTGGATGCAACTTTCCATGTATCATGTTAATAATCATACGTTCATGTGCTTGTATTGTATGTACGGCTTTGAATAGGCACGTCCTCTTCCACGGATCGCATTAGATCGTGAGAGGCTGATAGCGGGGGCAGAGATGAGAAGCAGGCCTTATCTTGTTCTTGAAGAAACCCAGCCATATTTCATTATCAGTTGGTTTCATGCTCTGGGTTCTCTGGCCAATCTCCTCAATCTCCAGCGTCATAGTGTAAGGAAGCACTCATCCACACAGAGGATGGCAGGGGTCAGGATGCCAGAAAAAAGTGAGAACGGACGGATAAAATGATACAGGACATATTTTTGCAATTTCCTCTTGGTATTCCTCCTATTCCGCTTTATCACAGCAGCCCATTTTCTCAACCAGCAGCCTGAAAGTGACTTGTGCCTACCCATGCACCTTTTACACCTCATTATCTCCAAACTAAGTGATGTCTGTGGTGACACCTTAAAGCCAGTATTCAAATTGAAGTGTCCTTGTTGAAATCCAGACTATCCGTCCAAATATAATGTCAGTCTGCCCTTCCAGCTGAAGGCACAGTCTCTCTTTCAAGTCGGTTTCACCATCACGCCTCCTTGAAAGCGCGTCTTTGAAGTCACGCGGCACGGCAAATAGCAGGAAAACTGCAAGAACTAACATTCAGACACCTCGCATGCACGTCTCCTAATACCTGGAGTGCATGTGGAGATGCCCTTTGTTGAAATGCCCTGTAAAAAGTCAATGAGATACAAACACAGTTCACAAATGCAAAGAAATCAACTAATGACAGTCCAAAGGCATGACATTTACCAAATGGCATAATTTAGCTCATCAGGCCTTGAAAAATTACATTACTTTGGATGTTTTATTTTAGTCTTTAATTATCTGAGGAAATGTTGTCCTAGTAGAGGACAAATTAGACTTTTTTTTTCTGTCAATGAGTCACCATAATAGATTTTTTTCAACCAATAGAGTGGGCCCAGCTGAATAATGTGGGGCAATTAGAGTAATCAGAAATTAAGAAAATGATTATGTTATTAGCATGAAATAATTATATAACACTATTATGATAATGCAATATATTATCAGCTATATTACTATTGAATAGCTATATTCTATATTCAGGTCGTTGTATTACATTTTGACAAATTATTTTTACTTTTTCTGGCACCAATTACATTATTAGCTGCTATAAAGCATATCTGAACACTGTCCAACCCAATCCGTGCGGCCTATTTTATCACTGCAGCCGTCATCTAAATCAGTCTCTTACCAAAATGACTTCTGTCTACCCCTCGAAGCCCATTATCCTAAAAACAGATGTCTTTTTGAGATGGCACTACAAAGCCATATTCTGCCCTGTCCTTTGCTCTCTCAGCTTACATTTCAGTTGGTTTGCCTTCTATAATTTTGTCTCATCTTCTGTCCTACACTTCTCTCCTTGTACATCAGTGCAGCGCTGTTCAGTTGGCTTTAACGTTGGTGTTTCTTCCTGAACTACTGTCTTTATGGAACAAAGTAATCTGAATATAGTTAACTACAACTTACTTGTTATCGAATATCTGATATCAGTTGACCTGCCACGATGATTGGTGTATGTATCATCCATCTTTCTTTTAGTCCACAGCTACTAACCATGGATACATTAGCAAAGCCCCAAGCGATTAAATGCAAGTTCTGATTAACAGAGTAGTAATTTATATGTATATTTCTTATAGTACATACTTCTGGTCACTGATGTTGTGTGGATAGTCATGATACATAACTTATGTAAGATTTATTTTCGACTTTTTGACGTTATTTGGTAGTTGAGTGAAGGAGTGAAGGGTAGGAAGAAAAGAGGGGAAGACACACAGCAAACAACCACAGATCAGACTGGCATTTTTGCATATAGTTGCCTGGTCAACCAGTGAGATAAACTTGCACCCAGGCAGCCTGTTTTGTAGCGAATACTTTAAAGTAAGCATGGGTGAACCTCAGGAGAAATTTTCCCCATCCATATATGAGGCATTTCATTCATTGTCCATCTGTTAGTAGCAGACAGCTGGTTGCTCTGGTTGTGCAGCAACCGTCTTCTATGTTTCCTAGAGATAGAAAGGTAATTTAACAGGGGTTTACACATGTGAGGAGGATGGATAGTGGATATATTGATGTAGTGATTAGTCTGACAGGAGAGGATGCTCGGTATAGGCTGAGATGGAGACAGAGGCTGAGATGAAACTTTAAGGTTGAAATTAGTTTAAAGTCCATTTGAAAGCAAGCCTCACTACTTGGCAGCTCTCTTGGTAATTTATCTGGGCACTTATTTTGAAGCCCATGTCCAAAGCAATGCTAATTAATTGGTGACTTAAAAACTTCATGTATGGAGTTATCTGCCTAGTCTTATTGAAAAATGCTAAAAAAGTTAACTGACTTTGCCCCAGAATCAGGTTTTTATAAAGCCGGGATATACTTCTACTACTAATTTGACTGTTGCTGAATTCTTTCATAGATGCCAGTTAAGAATTCCTTCAGTCCCATATCTTTGTCTCATAAAGTCTCTGGTTTAAAATAAAGTCTGCTTTGTCAGCTCCTGTGACTATTGCAAGCTGTCACATTTCGTTGACACGTGGTCTCCGGTTGTCACATTGAAAGTTTCTTTTTATGTGTGTCAGCATAAAGGGAGTGATGTTATTGCGTTTTACATATTTGAACTTTCCAAATTATGTGACCTGCTGAACTAAAAGCTGTTGGTAATTGTACTGGCTTTTAAACGATGGAACATTTCCACAGGCCAAACAGTTTCCATCCATGTGTGCTGCAATCAGAAGTAAAAGAGTGAACAATTTACATAAAGAACACCAAATTCCTTTTTCCTTGGTCCGAGGGGAAATAAATCACATTATCACCTTGAGCCTTCAGCACATAGAGGCAGAGAAAAAAGAAAAAAGAGAGAAAATGTAGTTTCCCAGATATCAAGCTGATTAGCACGGGCACCTTCCAGCAGGTGCATAAACACTTACCAACACGTGAAGTGACGAGACCGCTC